TCTTCATCTGACGAGATGTGATGCCTTGAATTGAGCCTGTAATGTGTCTCAGAAGTCCAAATCACACGTGTGTCACAGGAAGAAGCTGGCAAGCAGGCTTCAGGAGGCTGAGGAGGCCGTGGAGGCCACCCAGGCAAAATGTTCCTCACTGGAGAAAACCAAACAGAGGCTGCAGGGAGAGGTGGAAGAGCTCTGTATGGACCTGGAGAAGGTAGACAGAGCAGCTCATATACTCATTTATTTGATGCCTTGCCATAAAGCTTTGGCGTTATAGCAGTGTATGGTCCCTGCCTTAGGCCAGCAGCTGTGGGCAGGCTCTGGATAAGAAGCAGAGGGTCCTGGAAAAGCAGCTTGGGGACTGGAAAGAGAAGAGTGAGGAGCTGGTGACCGAGGTGGAGGGCTGCCAGAAGGAGAGCAGACAACACGCCAGCGAGCTCTTCAAACTCAAGACGGCTCATGAAGAGACTCTGGAGCAGCTAGAGGCTCTGCGCAGGGAGAACAAGGCCTACCAGGGTATGACGGCGCACATGTGAGGGCTGAAATGAACATACAGCTGGCTGTCTTAGATTGCCTCATATGCAACTTCTTCTTTGTCCCACAGAGGAGGTAGCAGACCTGACAGAGCAGCTGTCCGATGGAGGCAAGAGCGTGCATGAGCTCCAGAAAGCAAAAAAGAAAATTGAGATGGAGAAAGAAGAGCTCCAGGCCTCGCTGGAGGAATCTGAGGCCGCACTGGAGGTGAGTGCTTTATCAAGTCTAGATTTGCTCCAATATTTGAAGCTGTTGTTTGTAAATCTTCTTCGTTCCTCCCGTTTTGCCAGGCTGAGGAGACCAAAGTGCTGAGGCTGCAGCTCGAGTTGTCTCAGGCGAAAGCAGACCTGGAGCGCCGACTACAGGAGAAGGAGGAAGAGGCGGAGGCTGCGAGGTACCTCAGCTTCCTCTCATCCTTCATGTTTCTCTGCATTCTGTTTTTCTCCACCATAATGTCTCTTTTTAAAGTTTGCAGATAATACACAGTTACACATGACACTGGAACAGGGTTCAGTCTATTTAAACTTTGGGTAACTTTCCCTCTTGATGTGGTTAGTTTGTGCAGAAGTGAACATGGTAATTGCACAAACCAAATAAGCCACACTGAGACCCTTTGAAAGAGGTGCTCGTGGTCTAGTCCAGCCAAATCAAAATAAGAGCCTTGATCCAGCCCAACTACCAGGTGTACGCTCCAAGTCTAAGTGGCTAACTCTGATGAGCATAATCATTAGCTTCTTAATTTGTTTACTTAAGTAAGCATCTAAATCTAGAACAGAACTTTTTCTCAAAGTTTTTTATGAAAGCTAAAGATTCATGAACACAGAGGAGAATGAACAGAACCCTTAAGTGGCCATTAGAGCTCATTTTTGGCACTTATATGCCATCTTTAATTCAATTCAATTTTATTTATATAGCGCCAAATCACAACAAAAGTCGCCTCAAGGCGCTTCATAGATACAGAGAAAAACCCAACAATCATATG